GCCTTCTGCTACATGGTTTGACATGGCTAGGATGTGAGTATGAATGGCCTTCTGCTACATGGTTTGACATGGCTAGGATGTCAGTATGAATGGCCTTCTGCTACATGGTTTGACAGGGCTAGGATGTCAGTATGAATGGCCTTCTCCTGCATGGTTTGACATGGCTAGGATGTCAGTATGAATGGCCTTCTGCTACATGGTTTGACATGGCTAGGATGTCAGTATGAATGGCCTTCTGCTACATGGTTTGACATGGCTAGGATGTCAGTATGAATGGCCTTCTGCTACATGGTTTGACATGGCTAGGATGTCAGTATGAATGGCCTTCTGCTACATGGTTTGACATGGCTAGGATGTCAGTATGAATGGCCTTCTGCTACATGGTTTGACATGGCTAGGATGTCAGTATGAATGGCCTTCTGCTACATGGTTTGACATGGCTAGGATGTCAGTATGAATGGCCTTCTGCTACATGGTTTGACATGGCTAGGATGTCAGTATGAATGGCCTTCTGCTACATGGTTTGACATGGCTAGGATGTCAGTATGAATGGCCTTCTGCTACATGGTTTGACATGGCTAGGATGTCAGTATGAATGGCCTTCTGCTACATGGTTTGACATGGCTAGGATGTCAGTATGAATGGCCTTCTGCTACATGGTTTGACATGGCTAGGATGTCAGTATGAATGGCCTTCTGCTACATGGTTTGACATGGCTAGGATGTCAGTATGAATGGCCTTCTGCTACATGGTTTGACATGGCTAGGATGTCAGTATGAATGGCCTTCTGCTACATGGTTTGACATGGCTAGGATGTCAGTATGAATGGCCTTCTGCTACATGGTTTGACATGGCTAGGATGTCAGTATGAATGGCCTTCTGCTACATGGTTTGACATGGCTAGGATGTCAGTATGAATGGCCTTCTGCTACATGGTTTGACATGGCTAGGATGTCAGTATGAATGGCCTTCTGCTACATGGTTTGACATGGCTAGGATGTCAGTATGAATGGCCTTCTGCTACATGGTTTGACATGGCTAGGATGTCAGTATGAATGGCCTTCTGCTACATGGTTTGACATGGCTAGGATGTCAGTATGAATGGCCTTCTGCTACATGGTTTGACATGGCTAGGATGTCAGTATGAATGGCCTTCTGCTACATGGTTTGACATGGCTAGGATGTCAGTATGAATGGCCTTCTGCTACATGGTTTGACATGGCTAGGATGTCAGTATGAATGGCCTTCTGCTACATGGTTTGACATGGCTAGGATGTCAGTATGAATGGCCTTCTGCTACATGGTTTGACATGGCTAGGATGTCAGTATGAATGGCCTTCTGCTACATGGTTTGACATGGCTAGGATGTCAGTATGAATGGCCTTCTGCTACATGGTTTGACATGGCTAGGATGTCAGTATGAATGGCCTTCTGCTACATGGTTTGACATGGCTAGGATGTCAGTATGAATGGCCTTCTGCTACATGGTTTGACATGGCTAGGATGTCAGTATGAATGGCCTTCTGCTACATGGTTTGACATGGCTAGGATGTCAGTATGAATGGCCTTCTGCTACATGGTTTGACATGGCTAGGATGTCAGTATGAATGGCCTTCTGCTACATGGTTTGACATGGCTAGGATGTCAGTATGAATGGCCTTCTGCTACATGGTTTGACATGGCTAGGATGTCAGTATGAATGGCCTTCTGCTACATGGTTTGACATGGCTAGGATGTCAGTATGAATGGCCTTCTGCTACATGGTTTGACATGGCTAGGATGTCAGTATGAATGGCCTTCTGCTACATGGTTTGACATGGCTAGGATGTCAGTATGAATGGCCTTCTGCTACATGGTTTGACATGGCTAGGATGTCAGTATGAATGGCCTTCTGCTACATGGTTTGACATGGCTAGGATGTCAGAATGAATGGACTTCTGCTACATGGTTTGACATGGCTAAGATGTCAGTATGAATGGCCTTCTGCTACATGGTTTGACCTGGCTAGGATGAAGTCGGTAACCATGCCAGGTGTGGTGAACCTTTACTATGTTATCGTACATCTGAGTACATTGTAGGTGTTGAGACTGAATTGTCACCAATAGTGTAGACATATTCCGAATATTGTTGTTTGTGTTGCTTTGTATGTTGCTTTGTATTAATATTATGTACCGTCTTCGACTCAAATTGTAAGTACAAAAGTGCAAATAAATTATCATAAAATATATCACTTGGTTCAACTGGATTTTGTTTGCATTTGGAATATAATTTCTGGACACTGGATTTATCGTTTTTTTATAGTTATATTTCTTAGTTGTATCACAACATAGGTGTATGCCAAAGCTATTTTACCACGTAGTGAAGATACTTATTTAGCTTTTAATCACATTCCAAACAACAAAAAGCAGCAAATCTGCTGGATATCAATATTTTATAAATATACATATAATGACTTTCTGACAGTCCAACAACCACATTCTATTCATACGCCATAACACAGCGGAACCTCCTACCTAAAACAATCATCCAATCAGAAACACCAGCAGCATTCAGGAAATGCACCATATATAACATAATCGAACATATACAAAACCTACAACACAACTAACACTCACTGCTTTTAACCTGCTTGTATCCTATAGCAAATCAGAAACCACTGCCACAATGATCCGTAATCGTCAATATTGACGGAGGAAGGTTCAAAATGAAGATGAAGATGCAGGAAAGGATCCTGCATACTTTCTTCGAATATATTTGTTAATGGCATTTATTTTGTCTTTCAGAATTGTCCCAAAGCACGCAAGTGTACGTTTTAACTGCACATTTAAATGTCAACGACCTGGTAATAACGTCATCTTCCGAGAGAGAGAAAAGACAGTTCATGATTTATATAAAATATAATTTATGTCTGCCGCGATTTTTACAAATGCCTTTGACAATGTATAAAATATCACCCGTCTTCTGCTTCCACGTACTCGTTTTATATGATTGAACTGTATAAATCGTATTCAACAGGAAAACAATTAAACTTTCTAATCAAATCACGCTACGCAAATATTGCTACATCAGAAAAGCGCAGGATTTGTAGTGTAATTTTTGACGCCTGGTTCTAATGACGTCACGCTTGACAAAAACAAAAAGCTTCATTTTGAATGGGTTTCTCAACGCATTTTTGTCGTTTGCTGCTACTTTCTGGTCAAATTTCGAAACAAAAATGATATAAGATGTGTAGTTATGTAAATACCATAATGTAATGTGCAATGTGGAACCACAAAACCATTTATTCCTCCGTCGCTTCATCTTAACTTAAAACTGAAAATATACGCAGTGAATATTATGTACCGTTCTGATTGGACAATACTAAGATGTGAAAATAAACTTTTCGTTGCTCTTCACTTTATTGAAGATATGTTTTTCTTAAATTAAGAATTAATGATATTTCCCTAGTAAAATGTAATAAATACGGATCTCGTATGGGTTTTACTATCATAATTTTGCCTTAATGTCCCAGAAGGCTTTCACACATGGGGAAGCACCGGTAATGGACAAAGTGTTTACAGATCAAACCCCGGCGGTGCTTCGCGCTGCATAGGGGTTTGAAAAAAGGTTGGATTATTTCAAACACACTGATATTATTTTATACATTAAATGATCCCAGAACAAAGCTGGAATTCATCTTGGCAAGCATTACGTGAAATACTAATTAAAAAGGTTCTATGAACACTCTTACCCCTTTTTCTGGATGCATTTTTACATATAACAGCAATCAAGTATCGCTGGTGAATTTTTATATGGACGAACTGGTTATATGGTGCTGGTATACTTTGGCGTTCTGTATCAACATACAACGTTTTATACATGTTTTCTTTCTTCGTCCCTATGGTGATTATTGACGTGTTTCTAGTCGTTTCATTGGGTTTTTGTGTTTGTGATGTTGCTGCTTGTATAGCCTCTCTGTTACATCGATGTAAAACAAACACTTTGTAGATTTGTTTTCTTTGCAAAATGTTACAGAAATTTGTGTCGAAAATATTTTTCAACCACAAAGACGACAGCAACAACAAAACATAGCACGGTTTGTTTTACTGTTACGATTATGGGTCTTGTAGGATTAGAACAGCCTGTTTGCAATATTGTTATGTATGCAGAAAGTCTATAAAATCATCTGTTATAATAATCAGATATGTCACGAACGAAAATAAGATTATCCTAACAACTCCTGAGTTGGGACCATTGTCCATTTGATTCTTGCTGAATAAATGTTACTGTTGTTACCGAGTTAGGTCAGTACAATGTGTGAATATCAGAAATTCTGGACATCATCATTTTCATTCTTTTCAGACGAATTTTCAGGAAACCATTCTTTTTTTTTAATCTTTATTTTGCTCCGTTGGTTTTGCTGGTAACACCTATAACTTGAGCTCGTGGATTAATTTGTTCTAAAAGTTTAGATCTGTTAATCAATGTTGGTAGGTTAAATGTACCTTTCGTGCTGATACGGAAGGCGATGTTCATCGTGGCATTTTGGTATGTCACATTACATTAAACAATACTTCTTCTAACGTATAATTCCTTTGATGAATTATTTTCGAATTTATCTTATTTACAGCTATGCAAAGGCATTATTCGTGATACATTAGATGAATTGTTTGAGAAGAGAAACTGTAACCAAATCACCGCCAATTCTCCAACGAGTGTGCCTGGTTTATATTTGTATTTATATTTATATTTGTAGCTCTTCCATGTCGGACCGTTTGATGATCACACAACGAACGGGTCCCATATCCCTGAATGGTTGTACCAGACATATTGACTCTGACATTTCAGTGTCAAAGAGGATTCATATAATTAAAAGCGTGATGGTTACCTCTGTGATAACTCAGGCTTTACACATCTACCTACAGGGTAGCTTCGTTCACTTACAAACTACTTAGACTTTAGTATGTAGTCAACACTTATGTATGATATAAGCTAAGAAAAACACATGAAAGAACAGGATGTTTGTTGTTTGAACATATGAACATTTAATGGGACTAATAAAAATGAAATTTGTTCAAATTATAAATAAATCATATCGGTTACAGACAGACGAAACACTCATGACCAATGATTTGTCATGTGTACCAAAATGTAGTGAACATCAAATGAGGTTCGACCACGTCTGTAGTTCAGGTATATACATACAGAACATTGCTGTACTTTTAAAGTATAATCACAATAGTTTTTAATTAAAATGATTTCGCTATTTCGTCTGTCTGTTTCCCGTTATTGCATGTAGATATAAACAATAGTAAAATGCTTTGTTCATTATATAATCATATGCCATCTATTTTGAGCATTTTCATAACTCACATAAAAACAATAGTCACTTTTAAACATTAACTTAAAAACATAAATTATAGTCATATTTACACATGGCAAAAGTTTGTCAGTGCCTGACCGCGCATGCGCACAAATTCATTCACATATGTTACACAATTATACCACTGAATTTTCAATTGGTCCTGAGGCGGTTTAAGAGAGTTCTGGGCATGCGTAGATGGCATGAGAGTTAAACGTGATTTTAAGACACATCCAGGTGTTTTGACAACATGCTTAACTGGACATGTGACATTTAGGCGAAGTTTGAACAGTTCCAAAGCACAAGCTTTGACAAACCTCCGAAGGAAATGAGACATTGAATGCCCATGTCACAAAGCCACGTGATCACGCTAACATTTTGAGCCTTTTCAGCTGGCTAGCTCTCGCTGATCTGGCTGGTCATTCCTGAACCAATACCGGAAGTCACGTATATAGAACTATGAGTAATTTGAAGCACGTTATGTGAGACATGACTGTTGATTCATGGGAGGTTGTGCGTACCAGGAGTGGTAGTGAGACATGGCCCCGGCTGGCATACCCGAAGACATGGCCGACATAGAAGACATGGCCATGTAAGAGTTCGTAGAGGTTTGATTGTTGACAGCGTCCATTTCTGTCCACGTAGGCTGTGGACTGACAGAGGACGAGGGAGGAGATAACATAGCTGATGTTGGCTGTCCATTGTGTGATTGCCCATTTTGTTGGGACGCAGGGTGCGCGTGAGGTGTGGGCGTCTGTGGAGGATGTCGAGGCGCTGGAGGTGAAGACTGTTGTGGAGGGTGTGTTGATGGAGAGGTGGTTACTGGCGCCTGACCTTGGGGTTGACCGGGTGTTGGATTGACCTGCCCAGGATTCACTGGCGACTTCATCACCTTCTTGTACTTTGAACGCCTGTTCTGGAACCAGATTTTCACCTAAAACACATAAAAATTGAAACCATTAAAACAATGCTTAAAGATATTTTGAAAATAAAATCATCAAAGGGTTTGTTCACATGCATGTAAACATAAACATTATTATGAATGTGACTAGCCACGTTGGGTGTAGGCTGGCAGATTTGTTCTCCCTAGTAATACATGTGTACCTGTGTTAGATACGTTTAACGTATATATTTATATATGTTATCAAAGAGCGAAGGTGATATTTTAAAAAGTCAATAAAGATAAGAAACAAATATGACATGTGTCTGATCTTTAGAACTGTACGATAGGGATGATAAACAGAAAGAAGTAATATTCTCTGGTTCTATACACTATACATTTTTTTTTTTCAAATAACACTGAACTCGTGCTCACTGAAATAAACGGCGTTGGATCTTAACTGACATAATAATTAACAAGGAAAGTCCAATAGTATTATGCTATATGGCTACGTACAGTGATGTATTCTGTGTGGCATGCACCAACATTTTACTCCTTATTGAATTGGATAACTTGTCACTTGTCGTATGAAATCTGATTTATTAAACAGACTAAATTCTAATATCCAGTTCGTAGCTTGACTAGTCCTGTAATTCGCCCTTACAACTTACACAAAGTAACTATCATTCTCAGTGTTTTTACGAAAAGACCATCAGGCAAGGACTGGTATACGGCCTGACATAGTTCACCTTTGCCAGCTCTGTAATAGGCAATTGAATTTAAAGGTCTTTGTACTGTGTGAATGAGGCTCGGCTTGAGTACATTTCCTAAGCAGGGGTATAAACCCTCTATTACGAAGTATTGAGTAAACGCTATAGAACTGGCCATGCTTGCGGTGACTGGTGAGAGAGTGGGCGTGTCGACACAGACCTGACACAGATAGAACACTGTTTAGGACTATCTTGGTACTCAAAGCAGAGGTTGTACATTTCAGATTTAGAACTCATGAAAATCGGAGAAGAAAAATGTAATTGTATAGTGTAGGTCTCTTTTTTAAAAATTATAAAAGAATAATAAATAAAAGTTTTAAAAAGTCAGTTGTTTTTTCTTCTTCATATTGAATTGTCTTTTAATGGATATTGAATAGTGAATGCCAGCTTTATTCTGCTTGTTTCGTCTGATCGGTATTGTCAATGTGTCACTATCTTTGTTATATAAATAGAAGAGGGAAGAAGGTCGAAGTATTGGTCGGTAACACCTATCCTAAATAACCATTTCTTCGTGTTACTATTTATCTATGTATTACATTTCAATATGACACATGACAACACGAGAGAGTGTAAAAATTAAAAACACACTTATTTGCGAATTCGATATATTTAGAATTATATTTCGATATTGATTCTTATCTATTAAAAATGCATGTTCGCACATTGGTGTTTAACGAAGTCACTAACAAATTGAAAAGTATATGAAATATTTCCAGTACTACAGTCACACAAGGAAAAGTCAATCCGTCTTATTTACGCCTATTTTACACTGACTTTTACATTTAGGGAAGAAGAAAGCGGTTGGCTGAGGACGGGATAACGAGAAGGCCACAGACCGTCGCTAGATATTATCAGCAAAGTGAAGGCAGTCCCCTGCGACAGTGATCACACGTTTTATAGAACTTTCCTCAAAGTTCAGAGCTGACAAATCTATCAGAGCAACAATCACGCTCGCCCAAGTGCAGTGGAGTATGCGGCCATTGGTAGCCCGAGGATGAAGCCGTGTACGTAGAGCATATAAAACCATTGTGTAGGTCTTGTGACGAAATGTTTGTTAGAATAGAAAAGTTTGTTAAGCTTAATATTAAAGTAAAAATGCGACTGTTAATTGTTTAATTGCATCCTTTTATGACATTAACATGTCCTTCCTGTGTTTGTAAACAAAGTCATCCACGGGGGACATTAGCAATGCATAAGATGGTTATAGCTACATGACTAATGCAGAAACTGTATTTCTATAACATTAAGCTTGTTTCAACACCTCGGCTAGAGCCTAAAAGTGTCTTTCCATGGGAACTAACACACTAAACAAACCACATATATACCCCTTTCTTTAGTTGTCATTGGTAGGCCTCTCGCGTGTAGTTTACTAGCCCCATAGTATCTAAACATATCCTTAAATAAAGGATTGGGATAGTTTAGACTAGATTGTCCTCCAGGTAAGGTGTGATGCTAATGTATCCCACTGGAGTAGATAACGACGACAAAGTGTGTTGTCACATTGTGAACGCCAATCCGCGCCAATCCGCTAATATCAATAGCAACACAGAAGGTATTCAAACTATTATTTCAAGATTTTTTTCTGTACATTCTAAAAAACATTTAATAAGACTTTAGCTTTAATTTTACGACTATGTTTACATATATACGGTGTGTTTAGCGTAACGTAGTAGCGTATAGATTACGTGTTACACGTTAAAAGCCTGGTCTGAAGTGGTTTTGTAGAAACCAGTAGAGACCCTATATTAGCCTTACAGACCCGACACTTCAACAAAGTAGGCACCCTACTCTGTGTTTGTATTGTCAGACCCTCTATGGAAAAATGTGTTTCTTTCGACTAAGATGTATAATTATGTAGCCAATCTTATCCCAGCGATGCACGTACTAGTGCGTGGTAAACACACTTATTAATGAAATATTAAAATGAGGAGATGGTAGCTGATCATTGACTACCCCGATAAAACGGTAGTTAGACCCATTCATTCCTACCCGTGATAAGTGTCCTTTAGCAAGCCTTGCCTAATCGTCATGTCAATACCAACACACATTTTAATATGTGGTTGTATTAATCTCGTTTGTCGAAGAAGGTCATTTTACGCTGGTTTCGGCAATTTTTCAATTTGATTCGCTAGGCATCCAATTAGCACTGGAGAGCCCTTCTTGCTCTTTTTATGTGTGAAACTGATACACTTAATTCTAGACTTTAGCTGGTAATAAGAAACAATTTGAGGAGCATTTCAATACATCCAATATAAAGCGGACCTGTTTGTGTATCTTTATAAGGACAGTTGTAGTAACGCGTAACTAGCAATGAGGATAGACCTACACAGAGGCAGAGGCAGCTCATGAGGAGCATTTGTGGTAATTCGGCCAGAATTTGTCTCTTGTTTATTATCTGTGAAGCGAGTTTATTGACTGTTTTAATATGGAAATGGGACTCCTTAACACCTGAGCTGCCTTTGAACTCAAGTGAAGCATCAAGACCAGCATCAAGTATGGGATTTATTGAACACAGAGTTGCTATTCGAACGGAAATCATACATCGAAGAACAATATATGACAGCTATGTAATCTTGTTGCAAAAGAATGGGGTTTTGTGGTGAATATTGCCCAATTTGACAGGGAGTTTGGTTGAAGAATTTACGGCACTAAATATCTCGAAAGCTGTACGCAATATGGCGTCTAGGAGGATCAGACCAAGCAGATTCGAGAGAGGATGTTGGTGGAGGGTTGGCCATGTTGTCTGGGGTTTGTGTGTGGTTTTCAACTAGAGGAGTCGTTACATTGTAGACAATGGACTCTGTCCCGTCACAAAGAAAGGGCTACAATTACACGTTACAATGTTCATCAACGCTAACGGGACGGAGCAGACGATATTATTTTAGGTTCGTCACGTGGCGCTAGGACTCGGCGTGGGCTCGAGGCGAACGAAGGCGACATCTATGGAGAGGGGAGGGACCGACCGGCTTCCTGCCTCAAAACTCAATGACAACGACCCCGCCCCGACGTCAGAGCACTAGAGGCGCCCTTGGGGGAATCTATTTGTTCGATTTCACAATGAATGAACTTTGTAAAGTATACGGATACCATCAAATGAGCAGAATACATTTTCACAGAGGAAGAACCTATAAAAGACAGGAACTTTGGGTTTGTTGATAGTGTCATATACATGTACCTTGATGTGAATAGAGACTATGTGCTAGTCTTTGTGACTCGGAAAACTTTTAACTATGATTCTAGTGCACGTTGTGAAGGTTTACATGAGAGGGAAGTCGTCAACTGTTCATTTTTAACAAGCCGCCACTGCTAAGGCCTCGAAGCCCGCCAGACCGGCGCCACAGTTCGCGGAGTCGGAACGGCCCATTTTATACCGACGAGCATTGCCCCAAAACTAAGCGTAAAAAGGTGATCTCAGGTCCATACTTCTCTTCTCGTAACAGATATATACCGGGTAGGTTTGTAACGATAGTATCCACTATACAATACCCCGATAAGGAGTTCTCTAATCCTCTACAAACAGTGATTTGGTAATGGAACCATTGGTCCCACTAATGCTGTGTATCGGCTGATGATTAGCTATATTAAATACAACAGAGGGATACAACGGATCATGTTAACACTAGGTGTCCACACACAGTTGATGAACAGATAGCTTAACAATTAAAACACTCGTGCCACAGACTAGCTGATCATTTAATTGTAAATACGATTAAGCGTGTAAACGTTACAACAAGTCAACATGGCTGCCGTGTATAGCCATTGAGAGGATTGATTCGAAATCTACCAACTGTAAATAATAAATGGAGAGAGGTGTCAACGTTTCATAGTATGCACAAATGTACCCTTATCATATAAATGCATTGCACGTTTTAAAACGTTTTTAGACTGTTTACGTGAATTAAATACGGAAGTCCAATTGGAGCAAAAGACTTTATATATTTTGTTAAGTATTCGGAATATTCCTTTGATGAAAATAGGTTTTCCATAACAAAGATTGCGGGTCTTCCTCGTCGCACTGTACACAAGGAATTTGTCAAACTCCATCGTACTCGCTACACGAATATATGGTAATGAAAAGAACCACGCACTGTACCCGGTCGCCTTGTTATCGCCGAGTACTTTAACAAGTGAAAGATAGTTCATCTAATTTGACTGATACAATCTTAGATCTGTCAGATAGAACTTCCAAGGTTAGAGGGGTCGCTCTCCTAACCCGACATTTTCATATTCCCTAATATATGGGAGGTTTTTTCTTTTTCCATCTCAGTCAAATAAGAGAATTAT